TATGGCTTCTAGGCGCTTTAAAAAAAAAAGGAGTAATTCTGAAAATCCTGAGGTCTTACTGTTTTTTTTTATTTTATTCCTCAGAGACCTATACCACTAACAGAGGTCAAAGTTTCTCCACCCAAGTTTGATTTAGCTGCTACCAATTTCCCACCTCTCCCCGGTTGCGTGGTCAGCACACAGGGGGAGCCCGTGTTGGAAAACCGAATGTCAGACGTTGTTCGTGGTTTGTACAGGGATAAGGTAAGAAGAAATGAGACACTTACAGACAAACTGCACCAAGAGTATTATTAAAATGTGATCTCTCAGGTGTAATGTGTGCTCCCCCCTTGAATCAGAATATATTTCTGTTTGTTTTTTCAGACTGAACAAGCCAATAAGGAAGCCACTGTGAGTCCTGCTTCAGGCCAAGCCCCAGCCACAGAAGAGGCTGTGGCTGTGGCTGTCTCAAGTCCTTCTCCTGCTGCTGTGAAATCTGCAACACAACCACCTGGACCTCCATCCACTGGGTACAAATGTCTCAATAGACTGTGCAGTTACAATTTCAATTGTTGATTTTGAAGTTTCCTGTTTTCACAACTGCACTCCTTAAAGTGTCTAGAACTTTAATGCAGAATGCCCCTGAACTCATCCTGAGTTGCTTGTTCACACATGCACCTCACAATGGGGGACTGTCCCTGTCGAACAGGACAGATCTCAGGAGGCAAGACGCATGTAGGAAGACATGTTCATAATATTAATAAAGAAGGGATGAAGTAACTACGGAATGAAAGACATGATGAAGGAGTTTAATTTCATGCACAGAGACGGTCTGAGTTCAGGTGAAGGTCACACAATAAATGTCACAAAACCCTTCCGTTCACTCGCAGTGAAATCCTAAATATTTGCTTCATATTTTAGAGTTCAGCTGTTAGCATTCATACATGCAGCTCACTCTAAAAATTCTGGATGTTCTAAGGAGTTTTGTTCAGGCGTGAAAGCACTATGACAGTGGTAACTAGAATGTCTTCATCTCATGTCTTGCAGGATCACTCGCCCGGAGAGGAGGGTTGAACGTGCAGAGCCCCCAGCTCCAGCTCCCAAAGTGACTCCCCGCCCGCCAATTCAAACAGCTGTAAACCCACCCTCCTCCTCCTCCACCACCACCACCACCACCTCCTCCTCCTCCTCGTCGCAGCCGGTGCCTGCCTCCAGGCCTCAGCCCTCTGCTGCCTCAACCCCAGTGACACCCAGCACGCCAGCCCCTGCTACAGCTGCTCTTTCCACCCCTGCACAGGTGAAGATCTGGTTCTTTTAATGATAGCCTTCAATTTATTTTATGGTGCAGAGTCGTCTTCCCAGTGATGAGATCTACTGCGCATAGAGGGAAAGTATGGTAGTGGACTTAATGGCTTTGGTTCTCTTCTATCTCTACCTACCCTCTCACTCCTCTCTCCTCCTCCTTTATCTCCCTCTGCCCTTTCCCACCAAAAGTCCAGGATGTTCACTCCTACCCCGATGAGCGTTAAGATTATGAGATCTGAGGGTTTGACGAGGAAGGTCATGAATTAAATGTAGATTTGGAGTCCGAGTTATAGCTGTTTCATTCTGTGATTTTCTTTTTTCCAATTCTTGTTTAAGGAACCTCGTAAGCTCAGCTACGCAGAGGTATGCCAACGGCCACCCAAGGACCCTCCCCCTGCTGCCCCAGCTCAAGCTCCCTCAGGCACAGTGTCAGGCCAGCCATTACGCGAGCTGCGTGTAAACAAGGCAGAGGAGCCGGGCTCCAGCAGCGGGGACAAACAAGAGAAAAGCCACGACAGGGAGGGGGGGTGGGAATGCAAGGAGAGCCGGCCACCGCGTGAACGTGACTCTCAAGGCTACTACCGCAGCAACGGCCCCAGAGGCACTGGGGGCCTCAAGTTTCGGGACCAGAGGCGCCCGCCTCCGGCCCGACGCAGCTCCCCCCAAGGAGGCTACCGGCACACTGGCAAAGAGCAGAATATCCCGCCAGTATCGCCAAAGTAAAAACTGATTATGAATAGAAAAAAGTTGTATGAATATATACATGGATATATATAATTATATAAAAATGAATAACAAAAGCAACAACATTATGGTAGCCACCTCCCCCTGGAACTTGTCAAAACAAAAGCTTTTAAACTGACAAAAAGACCAGGACATCCAGGACTGATGAGCAAAATGACACCTGAAGAACTTTAATGAGTGATTTGAAAAGGAATATCTCTGTTGGCCTCCAGTGTTCTACTTAAAGTAATTTTAAGTGATTTATCTGGAGGCCCTCTCATTTATGCTCTGTTAGGGAGAGGTTGGATGCTGGGCCGCTTAAACGGCCCTCTACTTTGTTTTCTTTTTGTTTTAAACGAATAGATGTCTGCAAGAACAATATGCACTAAGCAGAAAAGAACATGCATATATGTCATGTACATATACAAAGACATCACTTACACGCAATGAGACATCAGTTTGTTTTTTCTTGTTTGCTTAGGTTTGCAAGTATGACTGAAGGGTTGACTGATGTCTGTGTATGCATTGATTGTTAAGCAAAATGATTGAGGTGCTGCAGTGTGCTGTTGCACTGATGTAATGAAATGGATGATTTATTTGATTTTTACATCCGAAATTCAGAATTGTCGTCCTGAAACTGGACAGTGGGATCTTCTAATGTATAATAATGAATTGTGTCCTAAGGTGGTCTTTTGATCTCCGTTCATAATTGGCTAAAATTATATCATTCAGATATCAGAAGCTGTCAATGTACGCCGCAGTCAGATGTGTGGTTTTGTTTGAAGCGGAAATCGACTTTGGGGGATTGCTGGCCTGCTAGCCACGTGAACCTACTACTAGCCTGGTCCCAAGTTTTTCATGTCAAGTTTTTATCTCTCTGAACCGAATACTCTGATTCAGATCATTGTCATGTTGATAATCAGTCAGGTTCTCTGTTTACATGTTTGTTTGGGTATTAGGTTGATGTTTTTCAGGAGTAAAGATGGAATTGGTTGAAGTGGTGACGTTCGACTGTTTATTGCACCTGAAGGTTTAGTTGAGGTTTGGCTTTTCTACATCATCACAGGATATCCAGGTTAGGCTTATATCTGTGAATTGTTCTGAACAATGGCATAGTGTCAAAATTAGACTGAGTGCTGTTAGCTAAAGATGATAGCTACATAATATTTGGCAGCCAAGTTGTGGGTAAAAAGAAAATTGGAACATTTTCACGTGCTATGTGCCAGCTGCCTACAATCATAGTGCTAGAATAAAGTTTGATTTTTATTGACGAGATCTGCTTAATAATGTAGTCTTGGGGACATTTTTGGCCCAGTTAAACTGGATTTTGACGAAGCTGTAGAGGTGTAGTTGCCTATGCTTTATTGTGATAACCCTTCACTAGAAACATGTGTGGGAGAATGTAATTGTTCTAGTACAGAATTTACAGAGGAAGGTTTTGACAGCAGGTTTCCACCAAACTGTTTTGTGCTTTTAGGGTGAGTTTGCTGTTTTTGTTTTATTTTTTTGCCTTTTTTTAATTTTTTTTTTTTTTTTGAAAAACAAAGAGGCTGACTTAGAATTTGAAGTTGGACTCACTGTATGTATTGCTTTTTAAATGTATTTATTTTAATTCTGATGCACAAGGCTTTTCTCCCAATCTTGGTAGGCTGGTTTCCCCAAAGTTGTGTGAAATCGCATTGGCAAAATAAAATCACGCATATGACATTTATATACTGTCCTGGATGTCAGCTAAGTGAAAAAAAATACTTGAGGCATTGACTATGGATTTAGTAATGCAGTAAACAAATAACCAATCACTGGGGTTGTATTTCTTTTTCATTAATGAGTATGAGCAGCTAGTGGTTTAGAATAATTAAATACATGCACTAACTTGTTTTTAAAGAGAATCTTACTCATGAGTAATGTGAAATCATATTAGAAGCATATGGTTGATGTTGACAGGCTTACAAATATCTACAGGAAAATGCTCCCTCCTCCATATGTTTTTGTTATTTTATGTTAATTTGGGTTGGGGTGGCAAAAAGGAAATGTAGTAATGGATAAACCAAGTGTTTGAGACACAATCCTAGACCTGTATGACATGTCACCAAAAATAAATTATTTTGATTTGGCTTTCAAGTGTTTGATTCTTTGTTTGTTTTACTGTTTGTTTGTTCTCCACATTCATTACCTACACCAACAGAAAATTAATCGGCAGCAAAAAAAAATCAAGTCAGAGGGTCAGTAATGGAGTGATAACAGATGCAACCATAAGCAGCTTGGAGCTGAAAAATCTACCAGCTTGGTTTATTTGGGCAAAAAAGCTGATGAAGTCAGAGCACAGGTAAAACCGTTTGTTTACCAACCTTTGATCAAAAATGGGATGTTCAGGTTACTATCACATTTAACAGAAAAGCAGCACCCTGACCTTTTAAGAGGATGGAAGTGGGACATTTGCTCTCTACAGTTCATGACACATAATGATTCTAAAATAATAGCCAAAGACTGGACTAAGAAACGCTCTACCATTTAAATAATCCTTAATTAATATATTGACAGACAGAAATGTTTTACGTTTTAATGATATAGTTCTGATTAATAATTAAAGTAAAACATCCACTAGGTGTGTTCTGATTTAATTAGTATGATCTATAGTTGGGGGATAATGCATTATGAAAACTAACTTCCAAGCTTGTCTGTCGTCCAGGGACTGACTGAGCTGTCAGTCTGAAGTGATTTGTGGACACACCTGTGTTTCTTTCTATAGGTTGTAACTCAACATGCTCTCAAGCTGAACTCGTGGCATGTCATTGAATGCCTGTAGTGCTGCCTTGCCATGTCTATATTGAGACCGTAAATATGTTACCGAAACGGCTTTTATTTTTAAAACAATCAAGTTATTGTAAGCTATCGCATATAAAAGTGTACGTTTCCTCGCTGTGGTTTGGTTTAAATATGTAATACAGTCTGTGGTTTAAATACAGCTCGAGGCTGAGGGCGTGGCCGCGTGCAGTGACGTCATGTGTTTACGTGAAAGCTAGCAGCAGCAAACAGTCAATACGGTAACCGTGGACCACAAACGGTACGTTGTCTTATAAACATCGCTTATAGATACATTGTTGGAAAAAATGGCATTTCATAAAACCGTCAGGAGTTTTTGAAGTGAATGCCATTTTATTTTTCTCTTACCAGTGTCGATTGAACTTCTCACATCTCGACGCTAACGTTAGCTCGCATACAAGCTAACCTGCTACCGCTAGCCGACGGTGAAAATGTAGTGAGGGTTTAATTAATGTGTCTTCCCTTTAGCCCAGCATGTCAGCTGTGTAGCCAATGTGATTTGCACATTGATTTTTAAGTCATTTTTCGAAACTGTCACCGGTTGTAAAAGGACTATCACTGTAGCAGACTATTTATCTCATTTTGTTGCTATGCAAAGTGAGCTAACGCTAGCTGTCAGTGTCAGTCATTTGTTTACGTTTAGTACGTAACATGGTTGATATTCTGCTGACAGTCAGCTTTCACACTTTTTTTTGCATTATGTGATTAACAGTTTTTTTATCATGTGATGTCACTGCAATTCAAACTAACATTTAAAGTTTTTTTTGTGCAGTATGTGCCTTTTGATATTTGTTGGCCCAACTAAACAAAACACTTTTCTTTCTGAAGGTATCTGCCATGGAAAAAAATCTAAACATTTTCACACCACATTACACAAAATAAAATGGTTGAACATTGGGGATGGAATGAGTCTATCCCAATGTTTAAGCTACTCACAAGATTCAACTTGTACTAAAGGTATTCTTACAGCTTTTAACGCTTTCTTTTGAAAACTCTCTTTCAGTGTACCCTAGTGCCACCCGTGTCCGGGTGCCATGTTCCTCGGTTACACATGAGCTCTACTATGTGGTACATCATGCAAAGCATTCAAAGTAAATACTCCTTGTCCGAGCGTCTCATTCGCACAATCGCAGCCATCCGCTCATTTCCACACGACAATGTGGAGGATCTCATTCGTAAGGTAGGCCTGCTCATCTTCCAGTCTGACTTCAGATGAATTATATATCAAAGTGTCATTAGTTATATTGAGATAATTATGTCCTCTGCTGTCCAGGGCGCTGATGTGAACCGGATGCATGGCACACTGAAGCCTCTACACTGTGCCTGTATGGTCGCTGATGCTGACTGTGTGGAGCTACTGTTGGAGAAGGGGGCAGAGGTACGTCATAACTTCACGTCGAATCATTTCCAATGTAACACCTCATGGTTTAAGATTTGGTTTGTTTTGTTCATTTCAAACATAAATGGTCTTTGTGGAGGCAATGTTTGTGTGAGCAAATGTTTACAACTCTCCCCGGTTGGGTTTCCTTGACAAAGCTTTGACATTTAGAATAGAGAACAAAGGTCGCTCAAAAAATGTATGCTTCTATCAATTCTAACAGGAGTAGTATCTGAAAATCCAGCAGCACACAAATATGGTGTCTCTGGCTTTTTCCTGGCCCGGTGATATGTAATTCATGTATTCTCCCCCTTTTAAAGTCATTATTAAAAATGCCTCTGAGGATAAGTTACCTATTCAAATTTGAACGTTTTGGTAAAATGAATTTGGGTTCACAGAGCCTATAACTGTATTGCTCTGTTTTGGGGGTAACATAAGATGTGCTATAATAGTTTTTTCCCTCCCTTGAAATGTACTACGTTGCTTTGTGTTGCCCTTTTCAGCAACCATTAATCTATATTTGGCTCTAGCCTGCCCTTTTGCATTTTTGTGCTACAGAACATGCATGCACCAGCACAAAGCGCAAAAGGGCAGGTGCACAGACCAGGCATCTGACAGGTGTTGTTAAGAACTTAGCATTAGTTGGTTCATTACATTACATTTCTTTACTAGGTAAATGCTTTGGATGGATACAACCGCACAGCACTGCACTATGCAGCAGAGAAGGATGAGAGCTGCGTGGAGCTGCTGTTGGAGTACGGGGCCCAGCCAAACGCTCTTGATGGCAACAAGGACACCCCGCTGCACTGGGCGGCCTTTAAAGACAACCCAGAGTGTGTGAGAGCCCTGCTGGAGAGTGGGGCCTGTCCCAATGCACGGGACTACAACAATGACACGCCTTTGAGTTGGGCAGCAATGAAAGGCAACCTGGAGAGTGTCAAAGTGCTGTTAGACTATGGGGCCCAAGTCCATGTGACCAACCTGAAGGGCCAGACACCTATATCTCGACTGGTAGCCTTGTTAGCCCGGGGCCTGGGCACTGAGCAGGAGGAGGAGTGCCTAGAGTTGCTGTGCCGGGCGGCAGGGCAGTTTGAGATCCGGCGTGCTGACGGCACGCTCCCCAGGGAGCTGAGTAAGGATCCCCAGCTGCTGGCTAGGCTCACAAACATGGTGGCTCAAGCTCCAACACTTCGCTCATTAGCGCGTTGTGCTGTCCGAAAGAGTCTTGGAGTTCAGTACCTTCCCACTGCTGTAAAAGAGCTTCCTTTACCAGAGACGATCAAAGAATATCTATTGCTTAGAGACTGAATCCATGTTATTATTAAATTGCTCTTCACACAGCCTTTTTTGGCAAGGAAGTGTTTGCTTTGAGTTCTAGTTAATCCTCCTGACGGTGGCCCTTATTAATCAAATCTTCTTGCATTTGAATATAAAGTTGTGCTCTTGGAGAGGTGTACGGACCTCTCCAGGTCTATTATTTAGTGCTTCAAATAAGTGGAGCCGGTTGATAAGTCTGATCAGTTTCAGTTTAAGGAAGGAGACTGGACAAGCCAGTGTTGAATAGATTGATTCACAAAGGCGTCATAATAATTTCTGCGATCTCTGGTAACAAATTTTTTGAATTTTTTGATGCAACAATGGTTCTTAACCCACTCTGTATGGAGTACTGACAAACTCTATAGAGTAACCATTGTAGGGCTTCATATAAGGAATGAACTTACATGAAGTTTGATGTGTCCAGTCCTCTTAATTGTTCACAAAGAGTCCATCTTTGTCATTTTATTTCAGCTCATTATTAATTTAATGCTCTGCTAAATTCACAGAACATTTTAATTTAGATTAATTTAAAATAATGCCATTGTGATATTTCATGTGGCATAAAAAAATCTTGATTATTGAGTTTGTTGAAGAAAAAAATCAGTTTTGGTTATTGTAAAGTTAAACCTAAATATAAGTTAGGTTTATTAATAATGTCTGAATATCTGAAGGTTAGTTGGTCTGATTGTGCCATCTCTCTCTTATGATAATGTTCTGGTAAACTTACAATGGCTGTAAAGTTCTATATATATATAGAGGGGGAAACAGAAGACATGTATAAAAACGTACTTTGACCAGAGCAGAAAATATCCTTCTTGATGGAAACATTTTGATTTCTTATGCAGCATCACAAAAGTTACACAATATTATCACTGGTTTCACAGAGAGGTTCACGAAAAGTGGCTGCCAAATCCTCCATCCAGTTCACTAAAAATGTTTTATGCGTTTAAAAGTAACTTTTTTTTTCATTTAAATGTTAGAATCTTAGAACCATGGAATGGCATGATGACTAGGTGTTTGTTCTAAAGAGTGTGAAATGTATTTACGTTTTTTTTTTATCTGCCTAAAACCTGACTGTTCTGTTCTTGAGTTTGTTTGCTTGTTCTGCTGCTGTGTTAAAAAAAACAAAAGACCCACTAGATCATGTCTTGTGTACACCTGCAGAAGTGCTTTTTTTTCTCTTTGTCAATGTAAAAAAAAAAGTAAATGCCTTTTTACTTAATTTGTTTCTCTTCATTGTTCTTCACAAAAAAAGTGTGAACTCAAGAAGCTGACACATTTTACATTTTGCAGAGGAGCACCCGTACTTTAAGGCTTAGATGTAGTGAAAGAATGAGTGACTAGGTCAAAGTTTAATGATTGGCCGCCCTCAGATTTTCAGGTCGAGGTATTATTTGCACAGGCCTTTTGTCAAAGAAGACTTGTCATAGGTGTTCCTAATAAGATTAATACTGGTTCAGTGCTAGTCAAGTGTCCCAGTAAGACAGCATGCACAATACTTTAGCTGAAACCAAAGCATGCTAAATGGAATCCAGCCATCACTATTCTTAATATCTACACCTGGGCTTCTTCTTCACCTTGAATGCATGTTTAAGCCTCCTTGTTGTGATAGCCATACCAGCTGTCAAAGCTTTATTCTTTCGAAGCAGTTTATGTGCACCTGTAAGGATCGTCATGGCAATGCTATGATGTTATTGTTTTCCTTGCAGCAAATGGATAGGAATACATATGGCTTTGTGACAGCAAAACATACCCAGGCTTTAAATCTAAAGTTAAACACTCAAAAATGTACAATGTATTTAAGAGTAAGAGTAGAAAAGGCTTTATTAGGCAGTCTTCTTATTAGAGATTATTGAATACAGCTGTTAAAACGTTGGTCCTGATTATTGATTGCAGTTATTTGAGTGAATCATCACTATTAGACGAAATTCAAGTATAAACTGCAAGATACATTTACTGTCAGGCTGCTGCTTTGAACTGTTTCTTAGCTATTTTAAAACATGGGCAAAATATCTACTCAGAAAAAAAAAAGATTTTATGAGACAAAAGGACAGCAAAACATAATTATTTGATTTATTTTAAAACATTACAAGTACTATTACTTTGATCAAATATTAACACAATCGGAGAGAAGAGAGAGAGAAAGGAGAAATAGCAGATTGTGTGTTCATTTTTCTCTTGGAAATAATCTAACTGTGAATCTAGTATGTTGATTGCTCCAGTTATCCACTAGGGGTCCCTCTAGTGTCATCTCTGAGTCCACATTTATTGGCTTACAAAATGTGGAATGTGATTTTAAGTGTCATTTGTCTATGGAAGAAAATTGTGATGTTATGTAATAATTGCTTTAGGGTACATCAGCTGCCAAGTCTTTAACACTTAATGCATTTTGAGTCATGTAACAAGCCGTTTTGGTAATATCTCTCATTCCATGATTGAAGCCCATTTATTAATTTATTTCTAATGCCTTAGCCTATTGTTTGAGGCTTGCACATCATGCTACCTTTTGATGGAGCAATTAAGGATGTTTACTTCCAAGGAGAGAGTGCAGGGTGAGAATATCAGGAAGGAAGCCAGAGCAAGAGGGGAAAGAAGCCCTTCTCATTCAATGTTGACACAAAACTGATGGCTTTTATATTATGATCAATTGTAGGGGTTTTAAAAAAATAGACAAAATAGATAAACGAATACAATAGCCTAGCAAAAAAACACACACATTGAAGGAAAGAGGAAAATGGGGGCTGTTTAGGTCTAGTGTTTATTAAAGGCATCTACCATCAATGCCATTATTGTGCTCTGTTCGTTTACCTAATGCACTCTTTAAAGGTGCAGCTCTTTTACAATCCAAAATACAGATTATGAATCGAATCTAGTCGAGTATATATTTGTTATATGGCCACAAATTCCCCGTACTATAATTGTACAGTTTAACAACAAATAAACAACAAAAAATGAAGTTAAAATAAAAACACCTAAATGATAGACCAGATATTGATTTTTCTTTTGTGCTCCACTGTTTTTCAGAGGAACATGTGATTGGTAAGAAATTAAAATATCACCTATTCATGCACTCAGTGACAACATACAGCTCAATTTAGTCTTTGATGAGTAAATAATAAACAACGTGATTTTTTTGGTCAATTTATATAGCCTACTATTATGCTGGAAATAGTACAAGTATATAGCCAGATGTGCAAAAATCTAAAATCTTTCTTGTTTAATATTTTCTCCACAAAAAAGAGAATTTTTATTCTATGGTGTTATACGTTTTGAAAGCAAGGGTTGTTTTTCAAGGTTCTCCCACAAACTTCTGTATATTTATGCAGAGTCTAGATTCAAAAAGATGAGACTGTACTTTCCTTTGCAATCTCGTGTGTGACTTTATTGAAAAGTATCAAAAACATGTGAAAAATGTAAAGTCATAAGCCCCTTTATGCTTCTCAATACCCGGATTCCTTTCTAAACATGCCGTATGATTGAGCACCATAACTGCTGCGAATTCTCGCGAGATTTCGACGTCAAGGGGAGTGTCAAATTCCAAGAGAGAGGAGAGGAGAGGGGAGCCAGAGAGAGGGGCGCAAGGGTGAGTTTGTAAACACTTAATAACCCTTTAAATTCTCTCAAGCTATTTCGAATACACGAAACTGTATTAAATTGTAGCTCGGTGCGTGAGTTTTCAGAGTTTTTGTTCCTGCTACACGTCTATTAATTTGTCAAAACTGTTGTGGCAGCTCCAACATTTCATTCGGACCCAGAGTCTCGCTTTGCACTCAAGTGTCAGTCCGCTAACCAACTTACTGGTGGCTTTTTCAGCTTTTATGATTTCGTCTGTCCCTCATGCCCTTGAAAAACACAAGTTCACTGCAGTTATAATCAAATAAGTGTCCGTGTGTGTTTATTGTCACCGCGGAAACTGTTTGTAGCGCTGTTATTACTAGTTTTTGGTGGCACTTCGGCCTGTTGTTAACGCTTAGCCACACCAGCTAGCCATTAGTTTTCCGTGGATACAAAAAAGTTGATTTCGATGTTTTAGCCAATAAGAATACAGTGGCTCGTGTTATTGACAGGGTGTAGAGCTGTGCACTCAGCAGATGCTGCTGACTGACGTCCATGTAGCCAATAGTTGTAAAGAAAAGGCGGTCTTGTTACGGTAAAAGGCAGGGCTAAGTGTGCCCCAACGTCGCCAGACGATAATGAGGCTCGAAAAAGACAAACATCGTTTAAACCAGTCATCGTTGTCTGAAAGATGGAGCCAAAGTTTTCATGACTTTACATTTCAGTGTGACATGAAACTCGTCAGCAAGCCTAATGTTCCAGGAAGATTGTTTGTCCGTCTGTTTTTTTGGCGGCAGAATATGTTGAAACGATAATCTGCGTCTGCAGTAGAAGTCTCTAAAGCGACTCAAAGTCTCAAGTAGTAATGATATCCATAGTATTGCAATTTGATCTGCTCAACGCCCCAGGATCCGCATCCCCATGCATGTCAACACCTTCATTAGGAATGTAGGTCATGTTTTTGGCAGAGTTATACCTCATTCCATCACATAGAGTTACACCAGAGAAAACTGCACCCTGTTTTTGTCCAACCAAATTTCTTGACCCACTCTTAAGTGATGATATAACCTTGAAATTGTATGCATCTCTGCATTAACCCAAACAACACATTACACATATGGTGACCATGTTTATTATTCCAGATATATATGCTCGGTCATATTATTTTAAATATACATTTTTGCATCAGGCTTACATGCCAGTAATATCTGCCCATTTCATATTTGGTTTGTTTATCCAGTAAATAATATTATTGTACAGCATTAAGCATTTAGCAAAGTAACTGTCAGCACAAGAAGCTTTTGCATGCTCAGCCCTCGATGACACCCTTCAAAAAACAATTAGCACATCGTTTAATTTAATAATAATTTCATTTAAGAAAACTACCATGTGTCCCTTGTATCCTCCTGCATTGTTTTCATGGTTTAAGCTTTTAGGCCTAGCTGTACATACATGGATATAGCATTTAATTTGTTCCATTTGCCAAATCTCCGCTTTAGTTTTGCTTACATATTTTGGCTGTCACACATTCAAAGCTAAAGCATTGAACTTTTTTTTGTGTATTGCCTAAAAACCAGGACCTCCCCTTTGTAATTCAGTTGTAAGTACCTGCATTTGATCTGTTATTTGACCAATCACTAACATTTTTTCCCTTATATTTCTTTAGCTTTTTTTTTTTTTTACCCGTTTCACACTATCCCTTCCTTTCCTTTCGTTTTTTCTTTTTGCGGGGTCTCCCCTACCCCTTGGCAATTCAAGCCTCAGATTCCAGAGTCATGGCTGCAGCGCGAGCTATTAATACAGTTTGTTTAGTCAGTTTCCTAGCAGGCTGCATCAAACACTGGATGGCTGTGGCTGATTATAGCTGGGACTCGTTCCCCTACACCTGCTGAGTCGGAGAAATCCAAGTTAACTGTGGGACTTTGGCAGCAGCTCAATGAGACAGGAGAGGAATTAGGGCAATTTGAGTGCTTCCATGTCACCTTGGATGAAAGGAGGTGAAAATAGGTGGACTTGATATCCATGACTGTAATGAATATCAGAGATGTGTATCAGGGCTAATGTAACTAGCAGACTGATTTACTGTCTTACAGAGTTGACGTCTGCGTTAAGCAGAGCATTACAGTGTACAGTAAAAAGTCAAACTTACAACTAGATCTTAAGTGCATATACGTGAGACATCAATCGCATTGAAAAATAATCAGCAACGTCTTTTCTCGATACATGCAAGTGTAGCAGGAAAATACACACATAGCTGCAGAGTTTAAAGGATGTCCTTTGGGACAGATTGTCTTACCACAAAGCAAAGCAAGAGATGCTGCAGAAAATACCTTAACACGTCTGTTTGAATCAGGTCAAGATATTTGTCTGGGCAGTTATGTAAACAAATGGTATTTTTCTCCCCAATCCTCTGAAAGTTAGGGTGGAAATTAGTGCCGGGCAATTAACCAAGTTTCAATTTCAATTACAATTTGGCTTCCCAAGATTATAAAAACAGGATAAAGGAGAGTCAAACGATTACTGTGCTGCAAACAGTGTTGTGCTTGTTTTGCCTAATGGTCTTGTCATGTTTTGTAAATGTTTCAGATATTTTTTGTACAGTAGAGGAGAGTACATCACAACTACGTCATTAACATATTCATTTATTATAATATATTATTATTATAATATATTTATATATACTTTTTGCTAATTTATTTTCATTTATTGCTTGATTTTTTTAAGTGTTCAGAATGTTGAAGAGTTAAGAGTGTTTACGTTCGATAGATGTATGTCGTGCAGATGTTGTAAAATCAATGAGTAATTGTGTGTCTTTGATAATCCTGATCATAATATCCATCAAAAAATATCTTGATTATGATTTGTACCATATTTAAGCAGCCCTAGTGGAAATCACACATGGTCCTGTCTGCTAATGTCTAGAATGTCATTACCAAGATGTAAACTTTGAAATCTGTTCCCATTCCTCACGCCAGATGTGTCTATTCCCCACACAGTCCACACCCTCAGTATAACGAGCTGGACTGACTTTCTTGTTTGCAAACGCATCTCTGGCCAAATAGACGCAGTGGATTGGAAGCACTTTGTGAGGGTCCTGGCACCAACCTGTTGTCTTTGTCCAGAGCATGGGAGGTCTGCTTCATCGGCCCTAAGACTTGCACAGATATTTTGCTTACTCACACAATAGGGATCCCTTTTCCTCATGAAGAAATGGACTTACAACAGTTAGGCCTGTTTCAAGCCCAGCGTCATGGGAGAGCGTTGTTATTCCACCGCAAGGTTTCAGTAATCATGTGTTGGCTTGGAGGTAGCTGTCTTCAGCAGAGGGAGGAAGGAGGAAAAAATACTGAGTTCAACATTGGGAAAATGTTCAAACATTTATTCCATGCCAACATAATGAATAATCTGTCACACTCAATATTGTCAGACAACATGCTCGTTCAATGTATTACTTACAACAAACCAGAATAATATTGACGTACTGAATATGTTTAGCTGATGTTTTTCAGTGCTATTGCTAGACACATTAGGTTTAAAATGCAAAAGGCATTCATGCAATCCTCATACTATTTGTACAAACTTAGGAAAAATACATCACAATATGTATATTTTGTTTGGGATATTGAAGTTGTTAGGGTTGGCTGGCACCTCTACTAATGACTGCATTTTAACAGAATCTTATTGAATATTGAAGCAATCACTGGCTTTTTTACTTGTGTACACAGGAAAGTCCTAGATGCATGTTGCTAGTTTCTGTACCGTCAGTGGGACAACGTTGTGTAATAGTAACAGACGTCACTTTAGGCCAGTTGAGAGTGCTAAATCATTAATGTCATTTGTTCATTTCCATCCCTCCAGTTCCATGACCATCTATTTTTCTGAGCTTCACAGTTTGTCTTCACAGTGAGAGGTGCAGGGTGGGTAGGTCTGGGGGAGCTTGGGATTTGGAGACGACTTACAGAAGTAGTGCGTCTCATAATGAAACTCCAGCAGCAGTGGAGGAAACCAAGCATCAACATTTGCATGTTTAACTCGAAGAATATTTCGGCCCTTTGAACGCTTTGAGGGTTTCTTATTCAATTCGACATTGCCATCCCCACGTGCCTCTTTTTTTAAGTACTTCCAAATGTTAATGTCTTAATTAAATCCTTTACAATATGCTGTTACATCATAGAGGTGCTCAGAGGAAATCAAACTATTCACATTTCAAGGATAGACATCCTGCTGATTTTGTGTTATTTCACTTTAACTATGGTAACAAAAAACTGACATTTGTAATGATCACTTCATCTGCACAGGAACGGTAGTTCAAAACTAGTATTACTATAATTGATCAGGGGTGTGAGCCAACGTAAAATTGTAACTGGTAATTGAAGATAAATTATTATTATATTGATAGTACAAGGGTGAAATGTGGCAGTTAAATTTCGTAAATAAATGAGGTACGTTGAAATTTGATGGAAAGAGAGATTTGAGATGAGAGAAACAGCTGAATCAGAGAGGGAGAGATTAAAGGAGAAGGTAAAGGGTTGGGAAGTGCTTGAGAAGTGAGAAGAGGGAGTGGTAATGAGAGAAGGAGGGATTGAAAGCAAGGAAAAAGGCGACAGAAGGAGGGGGGACATGTCTTTGTGTTAATGGTAGCCGTCGCTCTCCCATGGAAGCGGCTCCTCATTGGTCGGCCAGAATCCCCCCTGTGTGAAGGAAGTATCACCAGGGAAACTTTGTCTCGCTGCCTCTGTGCATGTTTTCCTACTTGCCAGGGTTATTTTTAAATAGCATTCGGCTTCCTGCTCAGACTCAAGACTACAAGCCATAGCATCCCTGTTTTGTTGTTTTCGGGATTTGCAGGTTGAAAACTAAAGACAGGTTGCAGCAATGTTCTCCTCCTCTCCTCTCCCACAGTTACATCATTGCAAGTTTTTTGCAAAAATGGGGGATGATCGACCTTTTGTGTGCAGCGCTCTTGGCTGTGGACAGGTAAGTCTTCTCCCTCCTTGTTCTGTGTTTCAGGTGTGTGCATGTGTGTGTGCTTCAGGGTGTTTATGTTCTTATGAAAGTTAATCTAGCTGTTAACTGTAGCTCCATATATGTTTGAATGTCTTAGCTTTGAAAAGAAAAATTATTTAAAGCTAGACAAAACAAAGGATATTGGATTTGAAAACACATTTGTTTAATTAAAATAAAACTGCAGTGAAAGCACTTGATAAACTCTAAAAGACTTTTGAACTACCGTCGTCACACTTGTTCTGATTGCAAGAATAAAACTAGCATGCTGGGTTTTTTACAACAATCATAATAATCAAATACAGATATATGGAATGATGAGTACGGATGGCGTTCTTCTTGCATGCTGTCTCTTGAGACAATGCTGTCTCCTTTAGCAGTGACTCACTGGAAGCTCCAGTGAGTAATCAGAGCACAGTCATTGTTTCAACCTGTCACTGTTGACTTCCAGCGCCTGCAGACACAGGTTTGAGCCGCGGCAGTGACTCAGCTGAGCGCCAATAGAGCACTCACATGCCAGCAACGTGGTGTATTGTCGGGGCCTTGGCCTCATATCACAGCAAATTAAAAGTAGTGTGCTCTTGGACTCATGACTGTTCAGCACAGGAAATGTCATGTCTGATGTTGTGCTCAATTAGCTGTCTTTAGCTGCGTGCGATATCCTTTGAGCTGGTTATGGATGATCTCTCCTGAGGTCTGGAGGACGAAAGTGTTCGTGTGGTTAAGTAACATTTGTGATTCATAAGCCTTTTTTTCATCCACTGATCAGAAGCGATGTGTTGTACATGGGAGTTGTGGTTTAAACAACAGGGATGTAAAGTAGTTAAACATGCATGTATAATAAATAAATGATGATTTGTGTGGCTGTTTTCCTTCCAGAACAGTATGGACACTTTGGGACAGCAGCACCCTTAATATTTGATCTTTTCTTGGATTTTGTTTCTGTGATGTAAATACTTTGCATATTTCATTTGTGGATATAATTTATTGAGTTTCTTGTTAGAACAACAGAATCACATGGAAAGCAAAGGGACTTGGATGACAGTGTCGGTCCATAGCTCCAAATGTCTGTGTTATTTTCACTAGCTCCCTTCGGTCTCCAGCTGAGTTAACTTATCTCTGCTAGTGATGAAAAGTCCTCCAAGTTCACAAGCAAGCGTTAGTAGCTGAGTTTGTGTGTTCTCAGTTTTGTGCTGGGCAGGATGTGCTCAGGATTTGTCACTAACTTCTTACTGAAAAAAATCAAACAATGAACAGCATAAAAAAGCCTGTCGAGCTGAGAGACAGTGTTGAGGTGAAATGTTCTGTATATTATTTTCACAGAGCTGCAGACATCCAACACAATTTACACCCAAGTCATTGGTAATGCGAAAATAGTCTTTAAAGGCCATATTGAGTTTTGAGTTATCTGATCAAATAAAAATTAAAATAATAACAATAATCAGACAAGGCGTTAGAATTAAAACTTTTTCTCTTGACAGTTCTTTTCAATGCTGTGTTCCATCACATTTAACAGTATAAAGTTACTATAATTCTACATATTATATCATCATAATTAACATAAATAATACATATTCTGCTTTTATATGTATCCTGTTTGATGGTATCTATCTGTGTTCCTTTTTTCCCTGTTTCTAGTTTTTTTATGTCTAAAAGCTTTTCAACTGTTGCCCTTTACAAGCGCCAGTTGTCTACCGAGAAAGTCTGAATCAGGCTCATTATAGAACAAGGATGATTGACTCCTGGCTTTGCTCAAGGTTTTCCTTTTACCAAGTTAACAACAAAAACAACAACAGCAGCAGCAGCAGCCCCACATTATATAAAGTGCTGTATTTACTGTGTGGGAAGGGGTAACCCTATCTGCCCATATCTCATACAGGGAGATTAGTTAGAGATAGTTTCCTACACAAGAGCGGGCAACCTTGTTCAGAGGAAAGAAACAAATCAGACATGCAGTTGTATTGGTGATGCTGCCCGGTCGGGCTAAAAATAAGCCCCCTGACACTTGACTGTGTTTCCACTTCGTTCTCTCACGTCCGAACTCGCAACTGCAACGCAGCGCCCCCAAAAATAGGCACCAGTTACTGGTGAATAGGCTTGTGTCACAGCCAAGAATTCCTCCTCCGTCTTTACTGATTCACCATGTTACTTCTCCAAAGAAGAAGTGGCCTGTTTCTGATCAGGCTGTTTGTTCTCTCTTCTAAGGTCTGATTTGACCTCCTGTAGCTTCCACTTTGGAAACCTGTTAGGGAAATTATAGAACATAAACTGTGAAGATGATTGTTTAGGACAGATTATGACATCCTTGTGTTTTACACTTCGCTGCATCTATTCTGATGTGTCAGCTCTTTCACTTTTGGTTTTTCGTTTGTGTTGGGGGTTTCTACACTTCATTTGTCATTTTGTCATTTGTCAATTCTCTTAACTTTTCTGTTTTAAAATATTCACTGTTTTCATTCATAGTAGTCTGTTTCCTTTTTCTAGATAATTCTAACTTTTGTTCAGAAATTTGAACTAAACACAGTTTTTTTTGTTTTTGTTTTTTTACATAATGTGTACCAGCTATATGCTGCATATGGTTGACTTCATTTGAAAAATATGATCTGTCTGGGATTATTGCAATATGATATATGGGTTGTGTTACTTTGGGTTACTAGGAAAAGTAGACAATTGCCCACAGGTTATTCATATAGTGTACTTTTCTCTTTTCTTCTGGCTCATCTCATCACAGAGATTTACCAATGAGGACCACTTGGCTGTTCACAAACACAAGCATGAGATGACACTGAAATTTGGACCAGCCAGGACTGACTCTGTCATTATTGCAGGTACTGTTCAAATGCACAGCTTAACTCATTCCCTTTGTAAAATATCCTCATCCAGTATCCAGATGACTGCTTAGCGTGCATCAGCGTCATCAGCGCATATGACATAAGATTCCTTATTTGAGTCAATGTGTGAATTAAGTGTGAAACCGTTATTTTGAATAAAATTCTGTGTTTATTCCCTTTTGCCAGACCAGACACCTACTCCCACCCGCTTCCTAAAGAACTGTGAAGAGGTTGGTCTGTTCAACGAGCTGGCCAGCTCCTTTGAACAAGATGAGGAGGAAAAGAGAGCAAAACTCTCTGTAAGGACGGCTTTGGGTTGATGACTTTGTTTCCAATGTTTTAGTCTCTCTGGGCCTTTATTTATTTTATACCCAATTCAATGGAATTAGTGCATTCCCCCATCCCCCCATGTAATTAACAATTACTTCTTCTTTTTTTGTCTTTTTTTGTTGATGTAGACAGAAACTATTACTGGCCTGGTGTACTTCTTCTTTATGGTCTTTATCATTTTAACTTTTCCAAAAAACTCTATTTAAAAAGCCCAGTTTGTTTAATCACATCCAGATATTATATCATAACTGATGTCTTGGTTATTTGCTTTGTGCGCTGAATACCTTGAGTGCCTACTTCCTTTTTTAAATGTACGGTTGTCTATGAGAATATTTTGTTTGATAAGCAGTGTGAACACTCTGCCCTTTCTGTCTTTTATTGTCTCTGTCCTCCTCAGCTCCCTGCACCCAACTCTGTGGCTTTGGACATGAGCCTGCAGACGCCATCAGAGGTGAAGGTGAAAGAGGAGGATCCTGTAGAGGTCGACTCCTCGCCGCCTGGCAGCCCTGAATCTATCTCCGACATGTCAGACAGCAGCAGAGAACCTCTGGTAAAAGGACAGGTATAGGACAGAAACAGAAGGACAGGGTTGCATTAGTATCAAGAGAAGAGTGTTTTATCTTTAACAATGTATTGTTCATGATTTTTGTCACTTTGACATTCTTACTCAATTACATATATGTCGGTTAAGGATATGAGTAGTGATATCTTTCCTCTTAAAAAATGTGGTGCCTTTTTATGTTGAAACCATTGCGTGTTTATTAAACAACTCAAAGCTGAATTCTAATTGTGTTGCTGTACCTGACTGATTTTCTCCCAGGACACACCACCCAGGAGTTCAGCCCCCACTCCAACTATTGTGCGTCCAGGTTCCCTCCCACTACACCTTGGCTTCGATGCCCTTCAACCCACCATGCCGTCACCCACCTCTGTCATCACACAAGCACCACCTTCCAATCGAACTCTGGGGTGAGTACATCCCAACTAGGGGTGATGATGTTAGATTGTGAAGGATTAGAATGTGTCGAAGATCCCCCGACGCAGAGAGATTGTTGTATCGGGCTACAGTGCACATTCTATCCTTTGGAGTTCTCTGGCCATTTGCTTGTCCGCTTCTTGCCTTCACTACAGACACACAGATCATAGTGAAATGTAGGATGTGTCTTGCTTCCTCTTTTGATTTACAATAAAGCAGACATTTTCCTCTGTAATATGAAACTGGTTAAGATTATCCAAAATCGACAAGGAGCAAACAGCGGTTCTTTACAAAGTCTTGTTTACAAGAATAGAGGTTAGCAACACATCATTCCTTTTTAACCACCCCTAGAGTAAGCATCCTAAACAGTATGCTGAAAGTAAATCAACGAGGAGAACAGCCACACCTCAGTCAGCAGAGGCACATCTATGAAATGCCTTTTGATTTGTTTTGTGCAGCTGGTTGCTGCCGATGTTATTCTGCTCTCTCTTAGTTTTGCTACATCATTGTAACAGGCAGGAGGCTCACCTGCTGTGAATAGGGAGTCACAAGTGAAACGGTTTAGAACGGGAGTTGTGTTTGGGTCACTTCATGAAACTGAGGGAAGGGGTCATGTCAGTGAGGTCTGGACTTATTAAAAATCAGGACTGTGTAATTTGTTTCCATTAATGCTGCTCGAATTGATCTCAGTTAGCAGCCTCCCCTCTTCCCTCTTATCAATGCATAGAAGGCAGTTGCGAGTGAATTACTATGGTTTACTGTGGTGTAATAATATACAGAAGCCACGGTTTGGTTCCGACCTTGGTTTTGGGGTCAAGGTTCAGTATGAGTTTGGGAAAACAGGAAAAAGCAACTAAATGTCCCGATTGCATAATTCTAGGTTTATCTAATTAATTATTATTATTATTATTATTTTGGTAATGATTTTTAGCCTTTGTCTTTATTGGTTTGGACAGCTGAAGAGAGACAGGAAGCGTTGAAACCTAAGTCCATTGTGATGTCTTCAAGGGGGTCTCAAAGCTCCGCTGTGTCATCGTGATAGATTACTCTTCTTCTTCTTATAGTCATGTTTTGTTGTGTCTGCTTCTTGTTCTGTGTTTGTTGTTTAATTATCAATCCAAAACATCGGTACTGTAACTGTTGGGGTCAAACACAAATAGTCATACTCCCTACTAGGGTGACCACTCTCTAACTTTGTTATCAAGATTCCAGAAAAACTAAACTAAGATTCTCACTTCTCACCTGCATGACCACATGTCACAAAGATGAATCACATTCTGGAGTATGTATAAACTTGCATATTTGTCCATTCGTATAAGTTTAAAAACACAACTAAAGTAAATCCAAACAAAACAATGAACTTTACTTAAAGCTACAGCTGTAGGAAATCTGCAGGGCTGAAATATACAAAAATACAGGAAGTCTTACAGTGCACAAAAAATGAATTTATCATAAATTTGTCCCCTCCTCCCTAGAGTCGATGCACATGCGAGTTGCCATGGACACGTAAGCTTCAGTGTTTAATCAGCTCTGCATCAGTCTAGAAACCTTTCTGCGTTCTAACTTCTCTCCATTTTTTAAAAAGCATGTGCAATATTTATCATAGTTTCACCACGTTTCTTGTCGTGGAGCTTATTAAAAATTAGAGGGCTTTTTAGTTCGGGTAGAATCAGTTATATCTGAACCATTTTGCTTGCCCCCCTGCATTGTTATCAGAGAAGCCAACACTTCAACAGAGCATGCTGGAGGACTAAAGCCACCGGAGGACTAAAGCCACCATAAATGGCCAAAAATGTTACTTATTCATGGTATTGACAGACAGTTTGTTGCTGGAAGATATATCCTAAACAGTGCACCCACATTGTTATAAGCTGCAAAAGTTAAACCCGGTTATTGTTACATTTGGAACTGAGCTATCTGGGTTTTCCTAACTGAGTATACTAAGTATACTAAATAGTAAACAGTAAACAGAGGTGTAACTTCTCCAGCTACGGCTTCAGATTTATTTAACAGTGGATGCAGTGAGCCGGATTATGGCAACAACAACTTCTTTAAGGCAACTATGTTACTCTCTCTCACATTACTCCAAAGACGAGAGCACATTTAAAGATCCGAGCAAAAGACGATGGTAACATGTAGTGCATGTTACGTGGCGTTAAACTGATATATCATAGAAATGCTAGTTTTAACATTTTCCCAACTGTTTCTCTTCTAACTGTCTGTTTGTGAGTGAACTCTTCAAAACCCAATATTTGAGCATATTCTACTTTTACACCATCACTCCTTTATTATACTGAGTTATTTGTTTCCTCTATAATCATTCTGTCTCTGAACTATACATGATATGTTAAAAAAAAACAACTAATATATAAATATTGAAAAAATTCTCTGATCTTTTGTATTTTTTTAGTGTTGCAGTGGAAAATCTTTCCTAAACTGTGATATTTGAAACTTAAACTAGAAAACTGTGATTGATATAACAACAGCTGATTCCCATGCTTCTTCTGTCCTCTGTCGTCTGCCTGTGTAGCTCTCCGACCAGCCACTACCCCATGATGATGCTTCCCTCTGGTCAGGCAGTTCCTGTGCTTCCTGGTCCAGGACATATTCCCTCTGTCATTAATGTAACGCACATTTAGGCACTAAATATTTTGTCATTTGATTAGTAGGTGATAAAGTTTTGAATTAATATGTCTTTTTCTAATCTTTTCTTTGTTTCTAGCTTGTCCGACCCATGTGTATGGTACCCAACATTCCTGGGATCCCAGGTCCTCCTCTGGGAGGCAGCAGCAGCGGCTCTAACTCCCCCTCCGGCTACAGCATCCACTCAGAGGCCAAGATGGTCAGCTCAAGATTAACTCTCTATTTTTGTCTCGTTATCTCTGCTTTTTGTCTTCATCTTCACCCTCCAGCCTCACTCTGCGCTGGCTTACTTTATTCATCATATGACTTTTTATTGCAGTTACTAGTTTATATAACTCTAACACTATATTGCACAACAGAACTTTTTGCATGTATTACAACGTATGCCTTGTTCCTTTGTTAGCAGAAAGTAATATATATATTTATTTTTGTACTGTTTACATTTTTATCGCAAAATTGCACACTTAGACAATCAAATAAAGGCAGACAGTAAATAAAATAAAATAAAAAAGTGGCCTTAATAGTAACTAGAAATGATTCTAGACAGCCGTGTTTTTTTCCAGAGACCATTAGACCATTTTAGACCATTACTTCAGGCGACAAAATGTTTTATATCACAAAATAACATAATCTTATTAATGTTCCAGGAACACATAACTGCAGTTGGCTTACATAATCTAAAATGCCTTGAGAGTAAAAAGGTTGAGATAGGATGTCACATGAATGTGGTGCTGCTGGAACAGGCTGGAACTGTGATAATGTGAGGTCAGCATGGGTGAAGATCTCTGAGGAAGTGGAGCACCTTATATATTTCATGGCTGAGGGGATAAAGGCTTTTTCTGTTGCTTTTTTTAGGTCGTGTCATGAAAATATGTAGTATTGGCTCTTGTTTTCTTTGCTTTTGATGTGCCTTGATCCTTTAAGCATTCACACTGCTGGCTAGGGCTTGTTTTATAAGTACTCTTCATTATATCGATGTTGTTCATTTCATATTTCTTCTGTAGCGTCTGAAGGCTGCACTGTCACAGCAGAGCCCATCAGGACACAGTATGGGGATCATGGCCATGGGTGGCAGCCCAATGATCCCTCAGAGAGCAGAGCAGAGCCAGCTGCTCGTCCAGCAGCCAGATGCTCCATCACCTGCACAACCTCAGGTACAAAATGTTATCTATAGCCGAGGATCTGGAGGAAATGATAACAGACCATACAATGTTTAATATTTAGCACAACACCTGTTTCTCTAACGTTAAACTTGTGCTGTACTTCTTGTAGTGACAATGTGCTCTGACTAAAATAATGCAACTATGACTCAAACTTCCCCTTTCTCTCTCTTGTCTCTCTTCTGCTTCCTTCTTACCCTTTCCCCTGTTCTCCCCTCAGGTATCTCCAGCACAGCCAACAGGTGGGCGGCGGCGGCGGACACTAGACGATGATCCAGATGAGCGAAGGCAGCGCTTCCTCGAGAGGAATCGAGCTGCGGCATCGCGCTGCAGACAGAAACGCAAACTGTGGGTCAGTTCTTTAGAGAGGAAGGCTGAGGATCTCTGCAACCTCAACGTCTCACTGTCGGTGAGTGGGTAGGAGTGGGTGGGCTGAGGTGAAATGTGGCCTGTGGGAAGCATGCGTTAAAGTGTGTATTGTTACACTAACTGTGCCCAGTGGACGGATAAAACTGGAAGTAGAAGTTTGTTAATTTTTAATAAAAGTATGGAAAATTCATAGAATTATAGGTAACTTTACAAAGGGTTGAGGTTACACGATTTGTAACCAATGAACTCATAACAACTTGTTTCCAAACTTTTTTTTTTATCTTTTATGGATGCCTCAGGTTATTTTTACACTGCATAACCACTTCTTCACTGCCAGCTGTGCTTGATTAAAAACTAAACTGTTGTTAACTCCTAATAGTGCATTCTTTAACTTGAAAGCATGATAACCTCTTGGGAAACATGTGGCATGCTTCCTTGCATTTAAGGGTGCACTGAGTATCAGTATAATAGCATTTCTCGACCAATTATAAGCAAAATTAAAACAGAATTTGTTCTTATTTTCTGGGCCTTCAGAATGAAGTGTCTCTGTTGAGGAACGAAGTGGCCCATTTGAAACAGCTGCTGCTGGCCCACAAGGACTGTCCTGTGACCACCCTACAGAAGAAGACTGCCTACTTAGGTGAACCTTTTATTTTATGCCTCTAACTATTTTCCACTGTTATTGAGGGCAGTATTTGGATACTGTAAAAAAAACAAAAAAAAAATCCTTAAAAAACAATATTGTCCATAGCCTATCTGAAAGACTAGTATGGAGTGGATTCAAAGTGAAGAGCAACTGTCTATGGTTTAAATCTGCATTTGTTTCCTCCTTTTTTGTATAGCTGCAGAAGAGAGCATGAAAGACACCTCAGAGCCCACAGGGTCCCCTGCCCCAGTGATCCAGCACAGCTCTTTGGCGCACAGCCCTTCTGCAGGGCATAATGGTCTGAGCTCAAGGGCAGCAGCTGAGGCCATGGCTATGTCTGTGCTGGCAGGAATGGGTCAGCATCAGAGGTCTGAGAGTGGACCCTCTCACATTATCATGGCTGCACAATCTCAATCTGCTGCCAGATGATGAGCGATTCCACCACGGCCCAGAATTGGCTCACACTCATTTCCCAGGGGTACAAAAGGGCAGCAGATCCCCAACCTCCTCCCTCTTGAATCTAGAAGTGAAAATTTTGTAACCCCACCCAGCCCCACCCACCCCCACCCCCCTCGCTGTGCTCCTCTGCTATCTCTGCCTCCCCCCCCGCCCCCCCCTGTAGAGCCATCATGCTGTGGCCTGGAGCTCAGCAGCAGCCTTCTGGGTATGGACCGAGACTTTGGAAAGAGCTTCCTGTTCACTTTGCCATAGACTACAGGGGCTGGACTCCACCCTCACATCCTCGTTTCCATCTCTTGTGCTTCCCCTCTCATCTCTCCTCTGTTCAGTAGGCACAACGCCTCACTGGACTGTAGGACTGCATCGCTCTTGAGTGTACTGACGCATTGAACTTTCCATATGGACACCTTAGCACGTGCACAGTTTCTAACACACAGGTGTTTCAAAGATTCACATGATCAAATCAGATACCACACAGGGCTTCACACTGTATTCAGCAGGGAATAGTGCCTTGTTGATCCTCGACTTTTCTAGCCACACACACACACACACACATACACACAACCACACACAAGCCATCAAAGCCTTTGTCCCTGTACATCCTTGGCTCCAAAGACGCAGTCATCGTCTAGACGTCTGACTCAATTTTCACCGAAACTCTTTGTAAATTGTTACACCTCCAGGTGATCTAAACACAGAACCCAAAACCTTACCTCATTCAAACCTTTTATGTTAAAATAGATTAACTGTGTGTGTGATTGGCTCTGTGTGTATATATTTATGTACATCAGAACATAGCAGTTTGCCTACTCCTGATCTCATACGTTAATAGCTGGATTGTTAGCATGGGACTTTTTCTATTAGAGTGTTATGTTGTTGATACAGTACGTGCAGCTATATATTTTTTATTAATTGGCACATCCAATCCAAGATTTGACCACAGAACCAAAATACGCTAGATTGACAGTGTGTTTTCTTAAAATTAGTATGTTTGAGGATATATATTATTATTTTTTAAACCTGAAGGGAATTACTCTGTCCCCTCCTTCCCACTTTACTCTAAAACAGACAGTTTTGCTGTTTATTGGTTTGTTTCCATTTGATATCAAATTATATCTGGTGTTTCTCCGTGTGGGCTCTTGACTTCCTGTAACTGTTATTTTCACACTTCTCAGGATGGTTGCACATCCTTGCTGCTCATTGGAAGTGCGATGAACCGATAGGTCTCTTTGCTCTCTACCAAACCTAAACTAAGCCATAATGACTTTTAAAAAAAATGTATCTCTGAATCTCCAAAGACCAACTGGCACTTGTTAAAAGAAAAGAAGTACATTTCTAGACTGTTTTTTTTTTCTTCGATTCAGAGGTCACAGTGACACAATCATCAGTAAATAATTGCTTGTTACTTGCGCTTGTTTGTTACACAGTCTCTCACACAATGTCTCATATGTTTGCCTTAAGATCACATCGGTGCCTCGGATATTCACACTTGGAGAATAAAAAGATTTGCTCACATGGAAAACAATGGACCCTCAAAAAATATGATGTTTAACAGCATTTGGTCATTTAATTAAATAATAACCAATTAAAGATTGACCTATTACAGATTCCAAAAAGGCTTTGAACTCAATGTTCCACCATTAGTCTCTCCTCAGTGGCAAAAACAGAACATTACTGGTCTGTCATCTGGTGGAGAGACACAGCAAAGACATCCTCATGCTCTGAGAGAGAAGTTTAGATGTTTCATGACTTTCTGATTGTCTCTTGTTCTTTTGAAACCCCACCAAGATATTTTTAACAAGATATTACTATATTTTTTACACAGACACCTAAACTAGCTTTTTGCTTTTCTTGTTTTCTGTATATTTGCTTCTTTCTTTTGTCTGATGCCATCATATATTTGAAAGATGTGATATTTCAAAAAACAGATATCTGTCCACACAAGGGCATGTTTTATGCACTAAAATAATGAAAATGTATGTTTTATTTGTGTTTCAGCTCTTTCATTTGCAGTTCTCTTGTCCTCATGGTTTTCAAAAAGATATCAGATTTTTTTTCTTCTTCAATTTCTCTTCTCTGTCATGTATACATTAATGGGAATTTGCTCAGCAACTTTAACCTTTCACCTCTGACTGAACCTTTTATCCAATAGTTCCAATGGAGACCCCGATATTTTGTTGTACTTTGGAGCTAGCGCTATATTTGGCTGGCAGTCCCTTTATAGACTATTGTTCATATGAAATTTAAATACAAACTATATTTAGCTTTCAGTTGTTCATGTAATTCATGTCATTGGCACCTTTTCTGTCATTTCTTTTTGTTGTTGTGTTCTAGTTTCAACACCATACAACCTTTGTCATAGTATGTCTAAATGAACTGGTGGATAGAAACTAATTACTATCAACACACAGATTTCTTCTTTGTGTTTTTTTTTTTCAGTCATTAGTCCAACAATAGGCAACATCCCCTTTCTACATGTTTGAAAATGAATTTGGGCGTCTCTAATTACTGTCCTTGTCTAACTTATTCTTTAATTGGGCAACTAACAATCATCCTTACTGTCTTTGGCATATTAATGTTACCTAGAATTGTTGTAAAAAGAGGAATCAAATGAAAAATGCAACAATGTGAATGTTGCACAAAGTGTATTGATGGTTTTTCACACTCCCGTTGATGGACTTGATGATTTCAGAAATTGTCCTTGTACTGTACATATCTGTACTATACGAAATATATTTACTTTTCCATGCATGTCCAAGTGGAATACTATGAACACTTACAGTGCTGCAGTTTTAATTAAAGAAACTACATCTTAATAAACATTTCACACGTTTTGTTTGTGTGTTTTAAAGTTGGAAGAAATCTTTACATAGGACAAACATGTTACACATTTCAAGTACGTCTGATAAGTGTGACACTCTTTTTTTGACTTGTTTATGATGGAGTATTTCCAAAAACCTGTGCTCTGGCCCTGCTTTAAGTGCTTTTGTACTACACTCAGGTACTTTTGGAGAGGCAAAAAGTAACACAGTAATCTCCAGTTATACTGTTTAGTTTAGTTTCCTTTGAAGTAAGTAAGTTATGCTTAAGAAATATGGCATGCTTCTGACAGCAAAAACATAATTGTAGCCAATAAGCAGCCCTTGACTGCAGAGTTGCTGTCACTAGTATATATACATTTATAGAAGGACTTAAGTTTGTTCCTGATATTAAGTTACTAAAGCGCTGAACTTAAAGTACATCAAATTTAACAGCAAGCATTCCCAAAAGAACGTGGTACAATAAAATAAATCTGTTACATCATCGGATAACCAATCAAATGGTTGAAGTTACAAGATATATTATATGATTAATATATTCTAACAATCTTTAGGTTTTACAAAAAGATGTTTTTGAAGATATCACCTACATCATTGTGGACTTGCAAAAAGGATTCTTCACTGTTTGGCATCTTATGGTATGGTTTCGTATCTTTTGCAGCCCCTTAAAAAAAACTAGTCTCCTCTTCAGTTTTGATGTCTGTCTTTCAGTCTTTTTATGATCACTTGTGCAAGCCAATTTCCCCATTAATCTCATACTCCTAAAAGTTATCTTCAAATCATTAGGGCACCTTAACCAACTTTCCCCCCTGATCCAGCTTTCAATAGGATCATCTGGTATCTTTCAACTCTTGGCAGGTTTGGTCATTAATGCTTCAAAATTCCTTCTAGGCTACTATTAAAATGCTGAATAAGAAGTTGAACTATCCTCTCTTGTGAGTCTTACTCGGGTTCCCTTAAGGACCCAATTGAACTTGAATTGTGTGCTAAGCTGGGAAATGACTTGATCAAATTATACAGCGCTGTCCAACTAGTGGCTGCAGAAAGTGTGTTTTCTGTGTGTGTGTTATTGTCAGAGAGACGCCAGAGGGAGCAGCAGTGTCGGGAGTGTTTCTCGGCTGGGACGCAGGCTGAGGTAAAGGCTTGTCACGTGACCTGCTCGTTGCCGCTGTGGTGAGTTTTTCCCATTATGGCGGAGGGGACAAGCCGTGCGGATGGACCGTCTCTCCCACTCTGAGGCTTGTTTTGTGTCTTGAGGGAGGGCGTTTTTATGTTATTTTTTTAATTTTTTTTTTGTTTGAAAGTTCCTCGCCACAGCCTGGTGTCCTTTCAACTCGACTGCACTGCGTGTTTATTAGCGAAGCCATGGCAGACCGCGGCGCGGATTTGTCCGCCCTGCCAAAAGAGGTTAGAGACCAATTGGCGGAGTTGGATCTGGAGCTGTCTGAAGGTAAAGGAGGGGAGGGGGGGCTGATCATAGGAGGGGAGCGGGAGGGGGGGGATGCTATAGCAGATTTTTAAGCTAGCAATGTCTGTCTCAGCTGTCTGTGCCACCCGGCATTGTCCTAAACCTACAGTTTCATTCCTCCCTTAGTCCACTGTACGTTTCTGATGCATTGAATGAAGCACACGTCCGGCACATAGTTAGCTTATTTTGTGCTAATGCAGGATGTTGAGTACACGACCGAGCAGAGCAATGACAAGCAGGAGGGGAGAGAAAGGCTTCATCCATTTCCTCGTGTCTCCTTTCTCTTAACTCACGTTGAGGCTTATTTTGAAACAAAGCGTCGATACACAGTGACGTTTCTTGATCAAATCCTCCTCATGTGTCAAAGCAATAGCTCTGTGTCTGTGTGTGTGTGTGTGTGTGTGTGTGTGTGTGTGTGTGTGTGTGTGTGTGTGTGTGTGTGTGTGTGTGTGTGTGTGTGTGTGTGTGTGTGTGTGTGTGTGTGTGTGTGTGTGTGTGTGTGTGTGTGTGTGTGTGTGTGTGTGTGTGTGTGTGTGTGTGTGTGTGTGTGTGTGTGTGTGTGTGTGTGTGTGTGTGTGTGTGTGTGTGTGTGTGTAGCTGTCTGACAAACTGGGATGGCCAGAGGCAAGGTCTGGCTATTAGGGCTTTGACCCCCTTCTCATGTCATCTTTGTTACACTTCCTCATACGGCAAGAATTTGACCCATCTGTTATCTGGCTTCCTGTTTGACATCACAGACGCCTTGTCACCTAGTGCGCATATGGTTTTCTGGTTTCTGCTGAATAAAGATGTTTTGTTGCAGTAAAACTGTGAGTCACCG